GGCCTCGTTCCTACAGGACATCTGCAGCCATTTCAAATATTTAGCTCTGTCTCTCCCAATTTCACCTTCAAACTGGGATTTCTGAAACTGAGATTCGTTCACAGCCCACTGTGGAGTCTTAGGATGGCAGCTGCTGAAGCTGAAGAAATGATGAAGATGCCTTTGCATGGGAGTGAGTAGCTGCCGTGAACCTCGCATATGTCCATCTCCAGGACCAGGCAGGAAAGTATCAAGCAAAGCCATGAAAGACACCAAGTGGTTTTCTGTTCTACTCTGCAACTGAATGAAAAATGTGAAGCGCACAGGGTGTCTCCTCCCCTCTTTCTGTCTGTCAGCACATTTCCAGAAGGCCTGGCCGCATCATGGCCCGGCTGGCTGGGGAGCAGAGACTGACACAGCACACGGATGGCGGCGCCCCGCCTGGGTGGTCTGCTGGTATCCCTTTGATTCAACTCCCAGGCTGGGAGAGCTGGAGCTGCTCCTAACGATAGCTGGGCCCTGAAATCTCACACTTGCAGGCATGGAGCAGGCCCTGCTCCCCAAGTTGCTACCTCCCACTCCTCACCACAGGCTAGGCTAATTCACCACATTCTTCTGAGCTCACAGCAGAACCACAAAGGCCACACTCCCTTGCAGCACTGCGGGAGGTGGAGATAGAAAGACCTCACACCGGAGCCACACTCCACTCCGGGACCCTGAGAGCTGCCCCAGTGGCCCCCAACCAGGAGCGGCCGCCTCTAGAAAATGCTGCTTTCACGAATGCACATGGTGCCTGCCAAAGGGTCCATCCCAAGAATAACCAGCCTCTCACAGGCTAAGGGAAAGGACTACATCCAATCCATCCTCTGCTCAGATTTCCACAGTATCTCTGGGATAATCACACTCGGAGAATACACACCCTCCATAGTTCAAAGGTACATGTCCTTGCACAATCCTTTCTTAGGTGGTCAATGCTCATGTGGCAGGGAAAGTCTGAGTTTGATATTTACTTGTTCTAGGGCTTGAACAAAGCTAAATCACAGCAGAAGTGGTTAAAAAAATTCAAGGTAAATGAGGCTGTTTTTAGCCATATAAACACTAAGAATTGAAACTCTAATGTGAATTCTGGGTCCCTCAAAGTTTTGTTACCCATCTTTAGGGTCATCAGAGTACTCCTGCCTTTGGCTAGTTTATGATTCCTCAGCATCCGCCCAGAGAGTGGGAAGGGAAAAAGGGTGACAATGCTTTACCCTCCAGCCCATTCTCCTCCGGGCTACAGGGTAAAGCAACTGTGCCTCTGTGGCCCCACCATCCTGCACAAGGCCTCGGAAGCTCTCCCGAAGTAGCCCTTGCCTTCTCTCCAGCTTCAGGCCTATCTTGCCCCTGTGACTCCTCACCTCCTACACACCATGAACAGCGCACTCCTTCCCCACATCCACAGTTGCTGGTTTTTATCCTGGAAGGTGCTTCTACTCTTCTGCCACCACCTGCTTAGCTTAAAGATTTAGTGAAAGTAGTATCTCTTCCAAGAATCCTGCCTTGGCCCTCTTCCCAGTCCTACTCACAAGCTGGGTTAGGTATCCCTTTTGGCAGATGTGTTATTTCTGTCATGCATGTTCCAGGCTATTGCTATCATCTGTTTATGTGGCTGTCACACTTGGGAGACTGAGTTCTTCCACGTAGAGGACTATATCTTATGTCAGCCCCAGGGCTTAGGACCAAAGCTTGGAACACTCTTAAGAACTCAGTTAAAATGTTTATTTAATAAAATAAATAAACACAATGGAATAAAGGGTTTTATAGAAAATGCCACTAAGTGCTTCAATAAGCTAAGTAGTTGAAATCATAGGCAAAATAAAATGCTTTTTCAGAAATATCCAACAACTTCAATTTTCTATATTCATCTTCCAAAATAGTACCAATAATTTAAAAAATCAGCTTTCCTTATCTAATAGGAGGTCTTTTAATTTTTTGCCTAAAAACACAATTAAATCAATACAGCGGACCCTCAAGTTATGGCCAGCCTGACATACAAACAACTTGGATTAATTAGGTTAATGGAAGATTCATCTGCCTCTTTTTATCTATAGTGTGTACCCAGGTAAACATCCAGATCTCAGCTGTATTGACTTAAAACCAACCCTCCCTTGGGAGCCAATCGAGTTTGTAAATTAAAGATCCACTGTATCAGAGTTTATGGGCTATAATTAAGCAACGTTCAAAGGAAAATTCATAGCATTCAATACAGTAAAAAAAACAAAATGCAGAATAAATCTAAATTAAGCACCCACAAGAAATAAGAAATAAGAATATAATAAGAGTTAATAAAGTTAAGGAAAGAATAAAGTTAGTAAAGATAAAACAAGAAAATAATGAATTAGCTGGGATTACACTTGTAATGCCAGCACTTAGGAGGCTGAGGCAGGAGGACTGCTACGAGTTCAAGGCCAGGCTGGGCTATTACATAGTGAGTTCAAGGCCAGCCTAAACTACACAGTGAGACTCTGTCTCAAAAAAGTAATAAAGAAATAGAATTAGAAAGCAATAAAATGACAGAGTGAATAAATATATCCAGAATTAATCATATGAAAAGGAAGGGGGGATATCCAGGAAGCCTATCAGAAAAATAGAAGAGAAGGTGCAGACATAAAAGAATTGAAAATAAGGAAAAAGTATGAGATAAGAGGAAATCAAAAGCACGGAAAGTGATGTCTGGACACAAAGCTGTTTCTGATGACAGCTAAATATAAGCTTCTGCGGGGGAAGTCCAGAGAGAAGCCCTGAGCTCCAGTGCATCCTGAGTGATGCCCACCTTTCTCTAGAAGGCCATGGACCCTGCAACCTGCTTCAGCGAGGAAGAAACTAGGCAACTTACCTTTTCAGACACAGCTAAATAAAAAAGGAAATAGTGAATATTAAACCATTAATACATGTTATTAGTTATTTACCAGAGAAAAAACAGTGCGAAAAGTTTCCAAATTCCAAATTAAGGAACTGTTTTTTCTGAAGGGAAGGAGCAGTATAACACACAATTGAGGTTTTCAATAACAAAGTACATATTGCCCAACAACTTACTTTTCCAAATTGAATTAGAAACCATTTATTACTGAAAGTCTTTATGGCTGAAATAACAGTATTTTCTGAGTACCTGGCATCTAGACTTTGCAAAGAAGCTTTTGCATGCTATCCTCATGACTGTTGTGTTTTCCCCATCAACAAATGAAGGTGCTGAGGTTGAGAGAAGTTGGGTGAACGGCCCAAGACCACACAGCTCGTCAGTGGCAGGAGGACGTAGGTCTTTGGATGGCTAACCCAACTCCCTTTTCTTCCACTCCCCTGCTTATTATGTACTACAGCGCCTCCCTCGCTACTGTAGCAAGCACTAACTACTCTATCACCAAGACTTTGAAGGCTCAGACTGGTGTCTACTGACAGGTCTAGATCCCTACAACAGGAGTCTGGTGGACTCTTAACTCACTGGGACTGAAGTTCTTTACAGATAAAAGAGAGAGACTGAAGGGAGATAACTTCCCAGTGGGGATACATAAGGCCTGGATTACTACAGGATCACGAATTTATTATTTTGCAGGCTTTGCAGTACAGCAAATGATAGTAATTGAAAATATATATTGCAATAATATTGGCTACATTTTTTGCTATAATCACACACACAAATCTCTTAATATCTTGGTACTTTTACCTCTTCATTTCCAAAATGGAAACGACTCAATTATAAAAGTGTAGCATGTCACTGGCCTTTACCCTTTCTCATAGACATTTTGTGTTGCAAAATTTCTTCTCCTTCTACCATGGTCATGACAGTCTATTCTCTCCATCATTCTGTCACTAAAATTAACTATCCAACTCCCTTGTAAGTTTCCTTGCTTCTTACTTCACATTAGGCCTCCTCATCTACTTGCTTCAGATGGCTAGGGATTTGAAAAAGAAAATAAAGGACTGCCTCACACCAGGGTGAGGCTGAAGTAAAGCTAAGTCCATGACAGGCTCACCTTTAGTTCTGGTCCTTAACTTTTCAGAAAACAAGGGTACCACCAGGGAGCAGTGTGTTGCCTACTTTTAGTATGTACTTAAAATAATAGCTATTATTTTCAACTTCATTTTTATAGACTTGATTAATATTATTGAGTTACCACCAATTAAAGAATTTGACACAACAAAGATATAGCAAAATGTAACTGTGGAGTTTACATTCTTTGGAGGACTCTGATGCCATTTAGCATTAAGGAAGAGGAGGAGATAGGGCTTCTACTTGCAATTAAATATCATGGGGCTAATTAGGAAAAAACCCCCCCCAAAACAAAGAGAAACCACAAAGTTGTTGTAAGCATCACCTAACTTTGCTGTGTTACAAATCTATATATATGCAAAAGACATACACATGAAACTTCATATATACAGTCAATATCCTGGTACCTATTTCTATCCATTCGGCTTTTTGAAAGATCTTGACCACATCCTGTCTTTCAGCCTCAGTTTCCCTATCTTTAAAATTGGTCAGCTCAGCGGTTCTGGCGCCTGCCTTGAAAGCGCAAGGTCCCATGTTCGATCCCCGGTACCAAAAAAAAAAAAAAAATTGGGAGAATGATATGTATTGGAGAAGGCTATACTTCATTAGTAGCCATAAAACATTCTGTGATCATAAAATGAAGGGCAGTAAAGTAAGGAAGAAAAACCAAAGATAATGTTACCGACATTCTGATAAAAAGATTTATAAAACTAGAGCTCACTGGAAATTTTTATCAAAGAAAGAAGCTGTTTTTAAAGATCCTTTAAAATTATATTTACAGCTGAACAGGTGTGTTTATCCAGGAAACAGGTCCACAATAGCTAGGAGCAGACTTAACCTCACAATAGTTGCAACAGAAAGTCATTTTCTCTACAACTGAGGAGAAATACCTTGATTCTTCACATTTATACCAACCAATACTCATTCAAGAGGCATCGGCTTACAGGAAATGGTAAAGTCAGGGAAAGACAGAGGCTGGGGTGCAGACGCGTACCTGCTGGGTGAGGAGAGTGATGTGGCTGGCTGGGGAATACTGCCTCGCTGCCTGCTTCTCGGCGAGCCGCTGAAGTTCAGCCGTCACCATACTTTGGTTGTACCGCTTACTGTATAAAGAACCATCTTCTCCCTCTTTTTGTGCTTTGGCTACTCCTGAATGATGCTTGTTTGGATGGCACAAACTTGCTGAAAAACAGAAAAGTTTTCACTCTCTTAGGATAAAAGCCCTGAAAAACTCAGGACAATAAGAAGAAAAATATCAGGCCAACAGACACTTTACTGAATCCTTGGGATCTTTAACAACACAAGGAGGAGCAGTACCTTCAAAGTTACAAAAATAAAAATAAAACCTTACCGTCCCCTAAAAATTCTTCCAAGAGCCAAACTGTAACACGCATTTATTAATGTGCTTTTGCTTACTACAAAAGCGTCACAAAGAATTTTCAGCTGGGCAGGGCGGTGCACGCCTGTAATCCTAGTACTTCGAGGCTGAGAGGATCACAAGTTTGAGCTTAGCCTGGGCAACTCAGCAGGACCCTTTCTCAAACCTTAAATAAAAAGAGGGGGGAATTGTAGCTCCGTGTGAAGGCCCTGGGCTCAATCCCTAGTAGTGCAAAACAAAAATACTAAACAATTTTCATCATAGGTAGTGGAGAATAGACAATCCTAGAATTTACTAATCTGACTGAATAAAAAAAATATACTGGGCTGGGGATATGGCACAGTGGTACAGTGTATTTGCCTTGCGTGCACAAGATCCTAGGTTTGATCCCCACCACTGCCAAAAAAAGTCTTTAAAACTCTCTCTACTTGTTTGGCTTTCTTGTTATGTAACTACACTTTCCAGTAGTCTGTGGTATCCACAGTCGAGTCATCACAACACTACTTACAAAGCTCAAAAGGGAAACGGGGTAAAGAAAAGCAGAGTATTTAGAAAAAATAGCAACGATTTAAATTTTCAAATGAGTGTCTTTTCTGATTTAAATTTTCTTCTCTCAACTATTTTATCATAGTTGTATTATTCTAAGCAGTGCAATACTGGAAAAGAGAAATTATTTAATATAAAATCAAGGTTTGTACTTTTTGATTCTAAAAGTCCTACATCTCATGGAAAAATAGTTTTTAAACCCTGGAAAAGTAGAAACACCATAATGTATTTCTCTTCTGTCTGTCCATTCCATCCATCCACCCATCATCTATCCATCCATTTTTGTGTTACAAGGAATTGAACCCAGGGTCTTGAGCCTGCTAATAAGCACATGCTCTACCAACCACAGAGATACACCCTAGGCCCCTTTTGTCCTTTTATGAATGCTGGTATAATCATAATCGTTCTGTATACACAATTTGGCAACACTTTAAAACATTTTTTATATTTATTATATTATTTGATACACATAAAAGATTTACAGTAGATGTATAAGGGTATTGTAATGAACACCGTGAACTAGAGCTTTCTGACCAATGATGTGCATTGCCCATGTGCTCCGCCCCATTCCTAATCTCCCTTTGTTATTCATTCTCTTCCTTTTGTAAAATAAAGCTTTGAATATAGTTTTATCAAATGCAGTTATCTGTGTCTGTGTGTATCTATAAACAAAATATTACACAATACTGCTTACTTTTGAGCTCTATATAAAAATGGTATTCTACTGCAGTTTCTTGGGACTTGCTTCTGTATTCAACACTACACTGCCAAGATTCACGTGTGCTAAGTATGACTGAGATTCATGCATATTATGTGCTGTCTGATACTCCATTTTGCAAATACTTCATAACTTATTTTTTCTATCCCCTATCAATGGATATTTTGGTTACTTTCAGCTTATTGGTGTTATTAAAAATGCAGCATCCACCCTGACATACATCTGCTGGTGCACATGCAGAAGAGCTTCTCTTGTGCCTTTGCTTAGGAGTAGAATTGTTGGTCACGGGGTGTGCAAATTTTTAATCTTATTCAATAATACCAGAGTGGAATTATTTACACTCCCACAAACAAAACAAGGAGTTCTTGCTGATCCACACACTCTTTAATACACTGTATTGTCAAACATCCTAATTCTTCCTAAGTAGCTGAAAAATATCTTTCGAGTTTTCATTTATTAATGATGTTGACATGTTACCCCTTTTCTGATATCCTTTATTATTTTTCTGTTGTTTTTTCCCTACTGACTTCAACTGGAGTTAAGCTTTTGTTTCATACCATAAGATCTTAAAGCCGGGTGTGGTGATGCATGCCTGTAATCCCAGCACTTGGGAGGCTGTGTGATAGCAAGTCCTTGAAATTTGTTCTCTTGTTTATGATGTATGACATGACTGATTTTTATAAATATATCATGTATGCTTGAGAAGGTATTCTGTCTAAGTGCTGTTGCTTGGTCCTATATACAATCAACAGATAAGCTCATCACCTTATTCAAATCCTCTTTACTTTTTGTTTTTAAACATCTATTTACTACATTAATAGTTAATAGAAGTATATGGAAATCTTTCACTAAGACAGTAGATTTATTGATTCTTCATGTAGTTATATCAATCTTTGTGTTACAGGTTGAATATACTTTATCCAAAATGTTTAAGGCAGAAGGGTTTTAGATTTGAGACCATTTTCAGATTATGAAATATCTGCACATATAACCATGTACTGTATAATGAAGTACTGGTAAAAACAGACCACAAATATGACAGTGGTCCCATAAGAGTATAATGGAGCTGTAAAAGACCAATGTCCTAGTGATACTGTAGCTATAATAATGTCATAGTATAACACATTACTCGTTTGTAATTACACTGGTGTAAATAAACCTACTGTGCTGCTAGATATATAAAGTTCATACAATTATGTACAATGCATAATACCTGATAATAAATGACTCCTGGTTTATGTGTACTACAGCATACTTTTTATTGTTATTTTAGCGTATACTGCTTCTACTTATTAAAAATATGTTTCATGTACAGCAGTATGCCATATTATATCACCAGCTGCCTCACACACATCTCGTGTTTACCAGGTCTCTTGATAGCATCAAGAGGCTATGTCAAGTGATTGAACTGTACTACCAAGGTTTGTGTAAGTGCACTCAATGATTTTCCAACAACAATGAAATTACCTAATGGTGCATTTCTAAGAATGTTGGACCTTCATTACATGATGCATGACTTTATGTTATGAGATATCTTAGGGCTGGGACTCAAGTACAAAATTTGACTGTGATCCATTATGTGAGGTCAGATACAGAATTTTCAAATTGTGGCATTATGTTGCTCAGAGTTTCAGATATTGGAGCATTTCTGATTGGGGATGCTTAACCTGTACATGTTTGGAAAATATTTAAAAACACTTTTAGAACTGTTTTATCTTCTACTGAACTGAAGCTTTTGGAGCTTATGTAGTTACTCTTTTTATCTGTAAGAAAGTTTTCCATCTTAACATCCATTTTAGCTTACGTTAATATAGCTCTACTGCCTTTCTTCTGGCTGAGATTTACCTGCTATTTCTTTCTTTATCCTTTTACTTTCAACTTTCTGTGCCCTTTATCCTTAGGTGTATCTCTAGTAAACAGCATACAGTTGTTTTTTTTCAAAACTTCAAATTGTCTCCTACCACGTTAAATTCCACCCATTTGTTTGATTCTCAATACCAATGATCACCCAGAATCAGCCCAGAAACGCACATGCATGTATTCATCTTAAACTAGACCACTTACAATCTCTGATTCAAGCTTCAGATTAGAATATCTATTTCATTTGAAATCAGGTATTAACAAGTACAGGTTAGCTATTTACAAAACATGGCTTATCTGTAACTCACCTTAATGTGTTTATTGCTAAAGTGTTTAAAAATTTGATCAATGTTAAGGTAATCCCCAAACTGATCTACAGATTCAATGCAATCCTTAAAATCTCACATGCAAGAAACCCAAAACAGACTAAATAATCTTGACAAAGAAAAAAAAGTTGGAAGAATCATCGATGAAAATTTCAAAATATTTTAAATAACTGTACTGTAATATAATGTGGTTATGGCAAGATAATACGATACTGATATAAGGACAGACATACAGATAAATGAGAATAAAACAGAGACTCCAGAAATAATTGGTTAATTGATTTTCAACAAGAGTGCCAAGACAGTCCAATGGGAAAACAATACCTTTGCAACAAATATGCTGGGACAAAGGAATAGTCACATGCAAAAGAATGAACTTGGACTCCCTATATCACATCGTACATAAAAATTAACTAAAAATGGATAAAGACCAAAATAACCTATAAAACTCATAAAAAAAACTTACAAGGAAATCTTTGTGACCTTGAGTTAGATAATACTTTTTCAGCTATGATGCCAAAACCATAAGAAAAAAAAAAATCTCAAAACTTCTATGATTCAAGAAAGAGAAAAGATAAACAACAAATTGGGAGAAAATATTTTTAAGTCATATATCTGACAAGGGTCTTGTATACAGAATATATAAAGAATATTAACAACTCAACAAAAAGACAAAAATCTCAATTTAAAATGGGTAAAGAATTCGAACAGACTTTTCTGCAGAGAATATATACAAATAGTCAGAAGCACGTAGGCCAGTAGTAGTGGTAATATGCCTATAATCCCAGCATTTGGGAGGTTGAAGCAGGAGGATTTCTGTGAGTTCAAGGCCAGCTTGGGCTACACAGTGAGTTCAAGGCCAGCCTGAACTACACAGCAAGGCTCTAACTAAAAGAAAAAACAAGCAAACAAACAACAAACTAACAAAAAAAGCAAAAGAAAAGAAAATAAAAAAGCACATGAAAAGATGCTCAATTGACATCAAGAGCCATAAGGGAAATACAAATCCACACACACACACAGACATTAACTCACATCCTCTAGGATGGGTGAAATCAAGGAGACATTACCAAAAATGTGGAGAAATTGTAACCTTCCTACATTGGTGATAAAATAGTACATTATTTAGCTATAAAATGAATGAAATGTATAACACGCTACAGTATGAGTGAATCTTCGAAACATGATGTCAAGTGAAAAAAGCAGGTCACAAAGACTACTCATTCCATGATTCCACTTATATGAAATGTCCAGAACAGAAAAATATGTTGAAACAAACTAGCCAGTGCCTGGTAGAAGGAAGAAACAGACAGTGACTGCTAATAGGCATGGAGTTTCTTATAGGGATGATGAAACTGTGGTGTTGTTTGTACAATTCTGTAAATATATTAAAACCACTATAATGTATACTTTAGAGGGGCAAATTTATTAATATGAATTGTATCTCAATAAAACTGTTGTTAAAAAGGAGGCATGTTGGAGATACAGCTCAATGGTAGAACTCTTGCCTAGCATGTGTAAGGCCCTGACTAGGATCCCCAGTACTAAAACAAAACAAAACAAACAAACAAAAAAACCAAACAGAAATGGGGAAACTTGACTGATTTCGTTTAAAATCAAACATCCTATTTTAAGAATCCCCCCCCAACACCGGGGATCAAACGCAGGACCTTGTGCTTGCAAGGCAGGCGTGGTGCCACTGAGCTAAATGCCCAGCTCAAGAATTATTTATTTATTCAGGTCATTTTTGACATTACACGCACTGAAAAATAAAAAAGACTAATTTGGGTAACATCAGAATGCCTACTTGAATGAGAAAGAACGCACACAGCTCTAGGATTATCTGTGTGGGAAGTCTCCTGACTAAAGGCACTGACTGAATAGAAGCCTCGCCTTAATTCTTTCTCTGCAACACCTGAAAGAAGTCCTGTATCAATGTCTCAGTGAATGAATGCTACTGGACAAAATGCAAGACTCTTTTTTAGTCACAGCAGAACAATGCAGCGTGTCCCTTTACCCTCCAAAGGAAAACGCAAAGGAAGGGGGGAGTTTTTTCTTCACTGAGGCTGAGGAGGAGCCGACACTGCAGGCTGCCTCTCATTTTCTCACTCACCTGCCTTTGCTGAAGAGGGACCAGACAGTTTCTGGCTATAGATGTGTGCAGCGGTTTGGAAAGAGGAGAAGGGGCCAATGGTGTAGCTGCCTGATCGACAGTGTGGCAGGCCAGCGGGGCTTGGTACATTCTGTGTCCCAGAATGTATGGAAGGAGCAGCATGATCAGGGTCAGGGTGCAGTAAAACGGCTGGCTGGTGAGACATGCTGGGAATAGTTGGAGGAATATGAGATAAGGAAGGATGGTGGCCAGGCCCTGGAGAGAGGGCAAAGGTTGTAACAGATGACAAATGGGTGCTGGGAATTTTCTGTGGAAGAGTAGCAGCAGGAGCAGAGAAAGAAGCAGAGGAACAATTGGTATAGACTAATTTAGCCTCTTTTTCTGTTGAGGTGGTAAATCCTATTAAAACAAGAACAAAACAAAACAGAACAAAAACAGATCACTTTAGGAAAAATGGACATATAATCTCTAAAACATAAACATTTTTTAAAACATCAAAATAATCTTACCATGACACAGAAATCATGAAAAGTATAAACTCTAATAATTACTCACCATGAACTTAACTAATGTTGCCTATCAGAGACAACTTGCCATAGACATCTTAGTTTATTTTTAGTTATTTCTAAGAGATGGAGTTAGGGCGACCTCCACAAAGCCAAGGAAACAAGTTTTACAAATGTTACAGGACAGCAGGACTTGTTTCTGTGAGCAGCACCTATGTCCTCTCCCTTTTTTTTTCATCCTTCTAAGCAAAAAGAAAGTAATTTCCCAAGGCAATGGAAAAATTCTTTGGAAGGAAAGTAGGTAATGAGCAGTTAAGAGGAAATTCTAAGGGAAAAGAAGAACAGAGAAAGGGAACTTCTTTGGGGAAATGCTCCAGGCTTTATAAATATTTACTATCTGATGACTAGTGTTTTCTTTTAAGATTTATCAGAGAGTAGCAAATCTAAATAAATCTAAATTTGAAATCACTCACGAGATAATTTATCAGAGAGAATTTCTGTTGCCTGTTGGTGTTTGGGCTGCTTTATTTTTACTTCTTCTATCATCTCAGGGTGATCTGAAAGAAGAAAGAAGAAATACTGAACTTAGGCTCTTTTCTAATCAAAATTATAATTGTGCTCCCCAAAATACAACACAAGTACTAATCAACACTGGGAAATACTGCACATCTCATCACAATTTTCCCATGATCATCACATCCGCAGCCTGCTGAACTGGGCAACCAAATGAAAAGGAGGCTAAAAACAAAAACAAAGCAAGATGTAGCCAGGTGTGGTGGTGCACACCTGTAATCCCAGCATTCTGGGAGGCTGAGGCAGAAGGACCAGTTCAAGCCTAGCCTGGGCAACTCATTGACTTACCAAGTCCCTGTCCCAAAATAAAAAATAAAAAAGGCTGGGGATGTAGCTCCTAGTCAAGGCCCTGGGTTCAATCCCCAGTGCTGCAAGAAAAGATCAAGATGTGATGTATATTTGTACCAATTCCCCATAATGAATGTATTTATTATGTACCCCCAAAAATAAACTAATAAAAAAAGGTAAAAGAAGAAAAAAATTGATTCCCAGCTATTTCCAATCATGGTTCCCCCTAACTGAGCTAGAGAAAGATACTTAAACCAAGGGTAACCATTTATGGACTGCCACCAAGCTAGGACATGTCTGGAAAAGGGAATGAAGGCAGTCAGATACATTTGCCAGGAATTTAGACAGAGGGGTATAAGAGATCCAAACGGCTGATGGTGTCCACTGGAGCCAAGAAGTCATAATATGTATGTAGCATGGGAGATACAAAAAGCAAACTGACGATTTGTTGGCATAATACCTGGCTACTACAATGGCTCTGTATCTTAAAGTAAATACCTCATTTTCACTTGTGATAGTATAGTCAATCATACCAAATCATTCTAATGCATTTCCACAGTAATAAATTAGTTTTTCTCTACTATGGACTTTTCAAACAGAGCAGCCAGAAGTAATCATATACTTAGGGAAATACTCCAAAATCCTTGTCAAGGATGAGACTCATATAAAAATAGGCCATTTTACATATCATCTTTCAAAGAATACGAACATGTGAATTCTGTCTTGTCCATCACCATCAGTCATAGTAATACCATCACCACACTTGTTTGTACATGTTTGAAATGAGTCCAAATAACACTATCAAATGCTGTTTCCTTGATTGAGGCCTTCCTAATACTTAGAGGTATTCTAAGTATAAAGAGGTATAGATTTTTGTAATATAAAGGCAGTCATTAATACACAAAACCTAGAATTTCAAATGACCCATCTGTACAAATGGGTGCTGCAGTGCATACTGTTAGGGCTTCCCCAGTACTACCAGGACCAAAGTCACTATGTGAATGCCCATGTGGGCCCTATCTTCCCAAGTCAGCACATTTTTCTCCATCCTAACCTCACTGTAAGAATTCCTCAGCCTCCCTTCCTCCAGACTGTTATAGGAGCTTTGCATAGCTTCCATCAGTCTTCTTGTAATCACTTACCCAACTTCATTCCTTGGATAATAAACTTTATGAAGTCAAGGACTCTGATAGTTCTGGTCATTGTATCACTAGCTACAGGGTGCCTAACGCATAATAGGTACTCAGTAAAAATGTATAGCTGGAATGAATGAATAATATAATGAGGAAAGCACAAAGAAAAGGGCTGGGTTTAGAAAGACCGGTAGTAACACAGTAATTCAATTATACAGTGAGTTAAACAGGCTTTTACCGATTAGCTTATGAACCAAATCAGGTTTTTTTGTGGGGGTACAGGGGATCGAACTCGGGTCCTAGTGCTTGTGCAGCAGGCGGCAAAACCACTGAGCTAAATCCCCGGCCCCCAAATCAGTTTTTAAAGCACTGAGCAGGGGTATAGCTCGGAGGTAGAGTGCTTGTCTAGCATGTGTGAAGCCTATGGGTCAATCCCCAGCAGTGCAAAACAAAAGCAAACACAAACAAACAAAAAATTAACATTGTTTCTTTGGGAAAATTCACTCCACATCCCAAATGACCGGTTTCCCTGCCTATTTCCATATTAGATTACAAGAGCCTGGATATTTCTACAATAGTCTATGATAGCATTAATAGCAGGGAAGAAATTTCCATCTTTGAATTTAATATTTAAAACACTGACAAAATTAGTATGTTGTTACCACCCATACCTTACACTTTGTTCTAGGTTTTAAAAGAATCTTACATTTAAGGTACAGAGCTTTATTTATAACAGAATGTCACTGCCATTTTTTGATCAGGATGATCTGAAGTTGATGGTTGATTCACATTCAATTCCAAAATCTCTGATCATGGAGTTCCATAGCAGTGAGAACTTTAGAAATATGTGGGAACATTCTAGGTATCCCAATGCCTGAAGGAAACAATGGCATTTGGGGCTAGGTACCAAGCATATCAGATATTCCACCAAGTACAGAACAATTCTACCTAACAGAGAACTCTCCTACTCAAAATGTCCATGGTCTTGAGAGGTCTTGCTTGACAAGAGTGAGAAATAATCATTAGGAGAGGCAGAAGAGTAGACATTAAGAGCAGGCAGACCTTTGAACCAGGCAGTCCAGGGATGAAAGTCGTGTCCTTGGGCAAGAGTGACCTTGTGCAAGCTACGTGGTTCTTTTCACTCATTCTCTCATCTGCAAATAAGTTTTAAAATAGTGCCTACTATTTTTTGGAAGTATAAAATAAAATTATGTCCAGTAGATAGTAAGATAAGTATTCACTAAATATTAGCTATTAATAGCTTTTCCTGAATAGCTCTCCTTTGTTCATTGTCGTGGAAAAAAGATCACATCCCTTTTCTGCTTTTAGGAGAAAACTATCCCCATTTCCCTCCCCAGCCCACACTGCAAAGTTTCACCACCTTGGAGACTACCAGTGCTCAGCCAGCACGTTATTCTTGACTCTCCCCTGGACTTCTCATTTTATCACTTGCTCTTATTTTTCACAAACGGATCGGCATACTTACCACCTTTTGCCCCATTATCAGAAAGAGTTTGGCTGTGTTTGGAACTTTTAGAGTGAGTACCCAGGAAGACACCTGCAGACTTGTTTTTTTGGGTATAAAAAGTCAGTACTTCCTCCAGTTCAGCTTCACTGAAATGAGAAAAACTATGGTCAGCACAGGAAGCTGTTCTGGAAAATCTTTCTACTAGGTTTTATTATGGAAACAGAGTAAGTGGGAAAAGGGAAAACTGAGAGGCACAACCTGAAAATTCTTCAAAAGATGGTTAAAAAGAAAATATAAATGAAAGTAGGCTAGAAAAGCTAAAGCATGATAAGGTTTTGTTCATCTCATGGGGAATTTTTTAGATCTGCACTGCCCAGTATGATTGTCATATGAGACTATTCAAATTTAAATATTAAAATTAAATAAAATGGAAGATTATTTTCCTGAGTTAAAGTAGACACATTTCAAATCCTCAGCTGGCACCTACAGAAAGTTCTTTTGGACAGCTCACTCTTGGTCGAGTCACCAAACTTTTGACTGTGGTCAAAACTGAATAGTGACCTGTTTCCGTAAGATACCCAGCTTAGAATTTTACATATACTACAAAGAATATGTGAAAAAGAACATGCATGGTCCACAGAGTCTGAAATATTTATTATCTGGTCCTTTCCCATTTTCCTACCTACCTCAGTTCTAGACAACTGAAGTACTTTACTAAAGAAGCCACTTGTCATTTTCATTGCCTATGTCAGAAATAAGAGACCCACCAGTGTGACCACAGAAGAGTTTCTGACCCACTTAGGAGACTAAAGTAGATGGTCTCTAAGGCCACTTCTTATTACTGAGATCACTAGCTATTTATGAACATTTACAAAATGGAAAATATATGAAAGAGATGAGTGTCTAAGGGATTCCTCCTCCAGTATACACATCATGCATGGATTCAGTTACATCTGTACCCTCTTCTGTATGGCCTTTTTCTTGAAGCTTGGCCATGTTCCAAATAGGTGACCTTCAAATAAGTGCAGCATGCCTACATTATTACAAAGAACCTATATCCATCCTCAGAACACACACTAATGAGAACCACCTCTGTTAGTCTCAGACTGAACCCCAAGGTCTCCAAAGCAGCTAAGTGACACAAGGTAAGAATTTCAAGTAACTACAACAGATCTAAAGCTGAGGTTACAAAAGGGGCAGCTGCTCTGCCTGGCAGTGTGTTTTATTTGGCTCTTCTCAGAATACTGAAAGGCAAAGGATATAGTGGGTCAAAATGTAGGCTGCTCTACACCTGTCTTATCCTCTGCCCACTTTGTCATTTATGGCTTCCTGCCTGGCTCCTACACATGTTTTGAATTTGCCAGCCCTGATGAAGGTAACCATAGTCTCACTCTAACTTAATATAAGAAGAACTGCTAGTACCAAATATTTTCAGCAATCAATACTAAATCGATAGTAAATACAATCCAGTAAATTTTATCTCCAAATCTTTATTAGTTAACAGTTTACATAGTATATAGGGTTAATTTTTAGTGTCCAGTTAAGCCTGCTAGGTAGATAACCATCATTTTTTTTAAAGTTTGCTTTTTTTTTTTTTTTAATGGTTTTTTTGACAATCTCTGTGAGGAACCAGTAACTAGAGCTATTTTCTGGACATAATCTCATTTTGTTTTCCTTTTCTAATTTTATAATGTTGATTACAGAAACTGTTTCTTGTCTTGTTTCTATACCTGCTTTATCAGTCATATTACTCAAGATCTCAGAATGTCAATAAAGTAGTACTGTACAATTATGGAACTTCTACAAAATGATGAGTTTGCTTGCTGTACGTTTAAGAACATAATGCTGAGGCTATAGCAAAGTCTATACAAGGTAATAAATAATTATCATACTACACTGATTAAGTCATCACCTTACTGAACTTCACAAATACCAGAGAGTTGATTTTTTTCCCACTGTGAATTTGATTACTGAAGCCTAATTAACGGGGTTTTACAGTTGCTTTATCCTTTATTTCAGAAGTTTTATACGACACTCTAATTTTAAAAAGTCCTCCAGTATAAAGTTTTACAAATTTTTAATTAAGTGCCTGTGCTCTCTCTTCCTTTGGAAATATAGTGTCAATGGACAGAATGACTGAGCCATCTTGTATCAAGATAGGGGCCTTTGGCTGGGGATTTAGTTCAGTGGCACTGCGCCTGCCTCGTAAGCACAAGTTCCTGAGTTCCATCCCCGGTACCAAAAAAAAGATAGGGACCTGAATGCTGAGATTTCCAATTCCTAAACATTAACCCTAAGCATGAAGAACTTCTGTTTTATATAAATGAGGCGTAACCCTCACAGTGTTGAGAAACTGCCAACTCCTCAACCCACTCAATGTAGGCAAAATTTGGTCATCTCCATAGCACCAGTAGGTCAGGAATAAGTTCAGATCCAGTAAACACTAGAAGCTTCTAACTTTAAATTTCCAAAGGCTCTCTCAGTACTTCGAGTGTTGTGTACTTTGAAGGCTGTCTAGAACTACAGCCCAGACGCCCAGCAGCAGTGTTTTGATAACTAAAGCCATGACAACAGTAATATAACTGGCTGAGATATGGAGAGGCCAAGTCTATGAAACTTTTTCTCCTTTTGAGAGTGATTTCACTTATATCCATGTGTCAAAAATAGGGGAAAGCTGGGTATTCAATGAGCAGTGTGGAAGACAGAATCAGATGGTTTCTATTAATCAAGAATGTCTTCTACCTTGCTTGTCTGATGAACTTCTGAAAGTTTTCTGCATTCACCCCATCTTCTTCTTCCTCTTCAAATTTCTTCTTGGATTTCTTTTCAGCCATTTGTTCTGTTTCCTATCCAAAGCCCAATCCCAGAGAAAAACAACAAGATGAAACTGACTCCTGACAAATGAAGACTTCACAATTTGTTTTCACTACTCTAGGGTTAAGTTGTTGTAATGACATTTAATTCTTCCATGTACTTTTGCCACCTATAAACTTGATATATATTACTTCTGGTCATAATTCTGTAAGATGTTTTGAAATTCCCAAGTAACAGTTGCAGAGGAAATGTAAATTTTTATCATGTTTTTACTTTCTACTTACATAGCCCATTGAGAAAAGAGCTTTTTATAGTAAGTAGCTTAGTAACAACTGTTATCACACATGTACTTTAACAGACACAGTATTTTGTTGCATTAAGAGAGGAAAAAAATAGGTCTTGAAAGAGTCTGTCCTACTAGGTTCCAAATTGAATAAATGTTTTACTTATGTAAGACATAACAGGATTCTCAATAGATCTGGAGTAAATCACAGGTATGGGTTTAATGTGTTGGTATTCTACTAACCACTCCATGCTACTTGTGCAAGCCATTTAACTTTCCAGGCCTCAGGTTTTTCTACTGTAAACTAAGCATACTTTTCACCTCCCAAAATAATATTTTTCAATGTACTCTGAGCCTCTTGGATACAAGATACTTTGCAAAAATTCTAACTAAATACTATATTTCCTGGGCTTGATTGTAAAATGATGCCTCTGCATAAAATGTTTCAGAAAAGAAAGTCTAAGTTACTGAAAAAAAGATTATGTCACCATAGCAAATTCACAGTTCAAATTTGCTCTCAAATATTCATCTCACCATTGTCTAGATACATAGCAACGATAGAGATGCACGTGGGCCAGGATTCATCCCAGGTGTAACAGAGCTCAAAAGGAATACTATGTCTTTTGATAAGAGCTAACTATGAGCTGGGCATGGTGGTGCATGCCTGTGATCCCAGCACACAGGAGGATCACCATGAGCTCTAGGCTACCCTTGAATACACAGCAAGTTCAAGGCCAGCCTGGACTACACAGCAAGACCTTGTCTCAAAAAAAGTTAACTGGGCTGGGGATTTAGCTCAGTGGTTCTGCCGCCTGCCCCATAGGCGCAAGGACCCGAGTTCGATCCCTGGTACCAAAAAAAAAGTTAACTATGGCAACTGGGCCTGCTGCAGAAGTAATGAGTAACTTTTCAACCCAGTAGGTTGCAGTATGGGGGTCCCACTCCCTCAAACAGCAATGTATTGGGGATGATGCTGCTAAGAGAAAGGAGGCGGGACAGTGGTACCCACTTGTTTCCAACCATGTGGTGCAACTCAAGGCACAAGATGACTAGGTGAACGACTTACCTTGTTGTACACAACGATAAAGTCACCTAGTTGGTGGGCGAGGATTCTTCTGCGTTCTAGAAGAGCTAATCGTCGACTGGGTAATACCATTCTCAGTGAATGCTGCAGGTTACTTGATGCTCTCTTGAGGAAACGAACTACCAACTCCTGTAAATTAAATAGTCACAGAGGAAAGAAAACAGGGATTATTATCCTTAGCATCAGAAGACAAACTATGATGGGATTAAACAGATGTGAGGTGTATCATAGATTTTGACAAACAAAACCCAGAGCAAACATGTTAGATGTAAGAAAGGTGCAGAATGACAAAACAGAACAATCTTATTCTGAAAAGCTGACAATTAGAAAATTAAGGGCCGGGGATGTGGCTCAGTGGCACCCCGCCTGCCTGGCAATCACAAGGTCCCGAGTTTGATCCCCAGTACCAAAAAAAATTAAAAAATAAAAAATAAAAGATGCCAATCAAAAATTAAAATCAAATATGTATGCAAGTAACCGTTTAATAAGGTAGTAATTATAAAAGTACCAGGATACAAATGCAAATGGCATTACCACCATTCAAAGAGCAGGTATGGCTTCTAAAAGGGTAATTAGTTACAGTGTTTTGGGGAAGGGAGCAAAGGCAGGTAGTAGAAACTAGAGAGCCGATGACATCCTCAGAGAGGAGAAAGTAGAAAAAGAGTACAGAAATATCCATATGTACAGACACTCACCATCACCTGCCCCTGCCCCCACCTAGGCCACCTGATGCTCCCACCACCTGCACTGCTGCCCCAGGACACGTCGCGTGCCCTGAGGCAGAGCGAGTCCTATCCCAGGAGAAGGCCACAGGTCTGCTGACCAAGCTTTACAAATAGTACAGAGAAGAATCAGGAAAAAGAAGGGTAGATATATTAGAAGCATAAACAAATCCTCTGGAGAAAACAATGCCGCGGAGACCAGGGAGCAAAAGATTCCATCCCTGTCAAAGGCCTCCAAGAAGCTGGAGGTAGAAAGGACCCCTGGATCTGGCCATTCAGAGGATGATTTCAAGAGGACACTTTCAGTAAAGAGAATAGAAGGAGAACATGAAGAAATTCATGGGCAAGGAAGAATACAGGTAAATAGTACAAACTACTCATTTAAAATGCTTGATAAGGCCAGATATAATGGTGCATGCCTGTAATCCCAGCACTCTGGAAAACTGAAGCAAGAGGATTGAAAGTTTGAGACCAGCCTGGGCAACTTAATGATTTAGTAAGGCCCTGTATCAATATTCAAATAAATTTTTTAAAAGGTCTAGGAATATAGCTCAGTGCAAAGGGTTCAATCTCTAGTACAGCCAAATAAAGGAAAAAGAAGAAGAGCAAGAGGAAGAGGAAGAGAAGGAGGAGGAGGAGAAAGAGGGGGAGGAGGAGACTGGTGATAATGGAAAAGAAAGAACTATTGCAGTATTTCGAAAGGTAGACCTTTCCCCTCCCCAAGGATAAAGAAGTTTTGAGAGTTAGGGGTTGGCAAAGAGAGCACCATTTAATGGGAGGTCATTAAGGGAAAGAAAGAATACAACTCATTTATGATGGAAGGAAAGAATTTTGAAATCTGAAAAGATACTATCAGGTTATTTATAAGCAACACAAATGCTTCAGAAAGATTTTTTAGGACCAAGGGCCTTAAAAAGATTGTTGCTCCATAAACACAATACAATTACTTTCAAATGATGGATCTGGGGACCTTCTGTTACATGTTATGAGATAAAGAATCTTTAATCCCACTCTGGGCCAGAAAGGGCACTCTATATCTACCTTCCTCATGAGCAAGTCCACTGGGTCAGGGTTTGCTCTCTAGATACATTTTCAAGGAGGAAGTCATAGAACTGGTAGTAAAGTTCTGCAGTGGTGATCCTACATATTCTTACAAAGAGCCCTATGAAAATCCTGTGTAAATTCTAAGCTAGCATTTGCAGTGGTTATTCTCTTTTAAGCTATTTTTCCCTCTCTTGAGTTTTAGTTCATTCTCTTTTGGAGCCAATTTACTCAGCATAAAGGGAACAGCCTCATAACTAGAGGGCTGGATTTCCTAGTTCTACTCTGCTGTCTTTATTGTAGAGTGGTTTAAGCTGCTATATTAAAACATAATTTTTTCATAGAGGAGCAGACAAACTGACTCTCAAACAAGCAGTCTCAATTTTCCACTTGGAAAGAGCAGAGCTAACATTTTCCACTGATGGCTGAAGGATTATTCACAATGCACGAGGTTTTATCTCTGAGTTGTATCGCCTACTTTACATTCACAAGTTGTTTTCTGGGATAACCAACATGTTTTCATAAGCTGCCTCACAGACAGACTCGCCTTTCATAGGTTGAGCACTAAAAAAGTAGGGTCACCACTGAGTGGGATAAAGGATGCATCTTTCTCAGGCTTAAAGGTCCCTCTCATTGTGGTGGAAGATCCCTGTTGTTAAAGAGACTACGTAACCTCTCTTCTATTAGCTCTGACCCTACCAAAGAGCTTGAAGATCTCTGTCATTGTGATTCAAAACAGAAAAGCCTTCCTACAAATAACTGACATAGGGTCAAAATGATCATAAAAGTTTGATTCCAGTAATGTAAGAATTTTATAAAGTTATCACTAGTAAAGAAAAAAATGTTAAATTGGAGGACTGTATTGTGAAAGGGCCTGTGACAAGGTGTTGACCTTCAAATGGCTAATGTGACTTCTCAGGAGAGAAAAGAAACACCTGTGCCATGCAGAAACAAAGGAAGAACAAGTCATGTCCAACTGTAACATCTGGGTTCAAGTTCCAGTTTACCGCATACAACCAACCTGTGGAAAACCAGACCTAGCTCCTCTCTGTCTCTGTTTCCTCATCTCTGAAAGGGGGATGATCATTCCCACCTTAGAGAGTTAATAAAATGTGAGGTTGCTTAAGAAAGGGCTGCAAATTGTTATTCTTCTGGAAGCCTTTGCAGAGGGCTTAGCATCCAGTGACTAATCACTTTCCCTATCAGGGTGAAATAAATTGATGCCCTCCCTTCGTGGTGTAATGAACACGGCTCCAGATCAAAGATTTTCTTTGCATCACATTAAAGTAAGAGAAATCTAGAAACTTTACTATGCAATAATTCTTTCACCAGAAGAATATATTGCTTTTTAATAGAAAAGAGGAGAGAGAGGGAGAGAGACAAAGGGAAAGTCAAAGGTTTCCAATGAGAAGAGCCTCACCATCTGTTCATCCTCTTTGGCAGCCCAACTGGCACTGAACGTCTGACCTCCACTGGCTTTCATCAGGCGAGTTTGAACATGCTGGAGATAGGCAGAGAATGCTATTCGGGCCTGTACTTTGCTATAGAAATCCAAAACAACACACCGTTATGAGACAGAATGGCGAGGCTACCAAATGTGCACCTCCCTTTCTCAAAGTGGCCTTTCAGGATTCTTCTATTAGGATGGCTAAAGAATATGAGAACCACTCTAAATAGCACATGAGGTTAAAAGTTCTTTTTGTCCTACTGAAAGAATCAAAGATGGAGAGTCCCACTTATTTTCTCATTATTAGCGCAGGAAAAAAAGAAGACTAGAAACTCATGTTACCTACTCATCATGTTATCTCTGAACTTTTTAACAACCTTCTTGGGGGAATGGACAGAAGGACTGAGTCTTCATAAGAACCCTTGTAGGAATGAGGAGAGAGGTTCCTGGATTGGAGGCCCTGAAGGACATACTTAACAGATAGTACAAAAGTACTGGTTCTGCTCTGGCAACTAATATTTCTAGTGTACAAAAGCCTCCAAAGCAGGAAATAGATAAATCCTACAAAGGAACTTTTGAGACCAAATTTTAAGGTCATGCTTTTCTCAACTGCAAGTCGGGAGTGGCTGGAGCCCAGAACAAATGAATGAGGTCCAAAAGAGCTTGGCGTAGATGAACAGGCCAGCTGGGACGAGCCCAGATGTTCAGTGGGAAGAAGAAATCTTTAGGCCTGGTGGAAAGCACTGTAGCAACATCACCGAAGAATGCATCTGTCTTCTGCCTGGTGGTCTAGCTTGCAAACAAGGATATCTGATCAATCGATAGTTTGAAAGAGAGATGTTGATCTTCACTTTAGCTGCTAATTGTGGCAGATCTGTTTTCTTTCAGGCAAGATTTTGGTTACTTCAGCTGATCGGCCTTCTGACACTGCAGCCAAAATTACATCAGTGAAGATTAGGGCCCAACACAAACTTTGTTTACAATCCTCACACATGCAATCACTGACCGCTTTCTACTTACTGTCCCCTCAAGGTTTGGACAAAGGATTTGTCCAGGGAAAACTGGAAATCCTAAGAGGGTCCTGGTCCAGATTCTCTGTGTGTGCCAGAGGAGTGGAGGGCAGTAAAGTCAGTCTAGGGAGGCCTTGCTCTGGAGTTTCATGCATAATAATAGCCTTGGAATATGAACTCCAGATAAAGCCAGATCTTTGTTACTAACAGGAATGGTTTATAGGGGGGAGCACAATATGAATTTATATTTCCAAATGTTAACAAAGACAATAATATTCTTGTTCACCTGGGGAGCGTATACCACTTTCACCACCACTGTTTACACAAGCTTTACTTTCACAAGAATTGATTTTCAAGTTAAGGTAAATTTTAAAAATCCTTCAGTTTGGGCCAGGGATTTAGCTCAGTGGCATTATGTCTGCCTTGCAAGTGCAAGGTCCTGAGTTTGATCTCCAGTACCAAAAAAAAAAAAATTCTTCACTTTGGCCAACAAACTCACATGCACTATAATGAGCGGGAAATAAGTGTGCTTTAGACAGCTCCAAATGTGGCAGGATATCCAACTATATGGATTGGTCCCCTTATACTGAAACATGAAGGTCTTTTGGATATACGAATTATTGTTCCTAATTCGAGATTTCCAAACACTGTTTTGCTGCAAATCAAATATAAAAGTATTGAGCTTTTCATTTCTGTAAATCTTACTGAAGAGATCCCTGGGATGTTAATTCTGAGATCGTCTCAAAGGAGAGGGTGAGCTCGTCATCTGCAATAAACAACTCTCTCCTCTAAAAATGAAAGGAAAAGTAGAATGACTTCAGGCATATACAACCTGCTGCCTATAGGCTGCTTGCCCTCTTTCCCCCCTACCTTTGATAGGGTCTCGGTATACAGTCCAGTCTGGCACTGAACTCACAATCCTGCTTCGGCCTCCTGAGTGCTAGAATTATAGGCATTTGCCACCACATTTAGCACCATTTAAAAAAAAATTTTAATAAAAAAAAAAGAAGTTTTGTCACATATATGTTACTTATATTACATATTTCCTATGTGGCCCCAGATAATTCCTTTCCACTCCATGAGACCCAGGCAAGCCAAAAGTTTGGACATTCATGATTACATCAAAATGAACTTATTTTTAAAAACCAACAGGCTGCATACGACAGTCCTCAGCATACGACACACACAAGGAGGCTGTGCCTGCAGCCTTGCCTTGTCTGTCTCCAGGGCTGTTGTGGCCACTGGGATTCCCCATGGACAATGGGCAGCTTCGGCAAAAACAGTCTGAGAGCCACTGATTTACACTAATATACTCTGCAATGACAACAGTTTACTCATTGAAAGTGAGATCCCTAAGATTTATTAAAAAATAGTTTATTTCTATCACAGCTAGGGAGAATGTTATTGCTGGAAAGGAACTCAGAATACAGTCCAGAACTTTTCAAATACTCTAATTTTTTCCCCCCTGGTACTGGGGATTGTACTTAGGATCTTGTTCTTGCTAGGCAGGCATGGTGCCCTGGAGCTACATCCCTGGTCCCAAATATTCTATTTTCAATTCACTGGAAGCTTTTTGTCTCTCCATGAAATAGTTTGAAAAACCCCTATTTGCCCTCTACTTTGGCTTGACAGAAAAGGAAACTGAGACCTAGAGAAGCTCTCTGACTTGCCTATGGTCACAAAGGCTAGAAGCACTAAAAGAACCTGGGCTCAAGTATGCTGACAGAGTTGGGACCTGTTCTCATTCTCCATGACACTGTTCTAAGCCCAACGCTATCCTCCCAAGGCCCCATGTCACACCTCTAATATAGAAAATAAAGGCCATCGTTCATAAATACTAAACTTCCTTGCTCTACAACTTCTATTTACCGCGCTCATCCTATAGCCCTTTCTTTCTCATAGGGAGAGATACCCCTCCACTGGGCCTCTTACCACCTTCCTTTAGGGCCCATTCTCTGGCAATATATCTATTTCTGTATCTCTAATCCTCTGGCCATGAAATCCTTCCCTTAGTCTATAAATAAGCTCCAGAATCCCTATTTTTTAAAACCACTTCCTCTTAGCTGGCTTTCTCTCTGGTGTATTCTTACCTTCCTTGCACTGTCAAAACCTTCTGAAAAAGTTACTTCACACTTGCTTTCTTATTTCTTTAGCTCACAATTGTTCTTTTATCCACACATTTGGTCCTAGGTTACAAATCCAGGAATCTTTTCACTCCTTATCCTAACTTGGGGATCGGAGACACTCTATAGACTTGAAATTCTCATCTTGTAGCTTTCACCATACTACTCCCTCCCACTTTTATGCTATTTGCTATTTATAGGTCTTTTTACTGACCTAGTCATTAAATAGTGGTATTTCCCAAGACTTCAATTGCTTCCTTTTCTCCTTGTTTATGCTTGCTAAATTAAATAGAATCAACAGTCTCATCCACACTGAGGGCTTTAACTATTAACTGTGTAATCCTGTTCAACCCTGACAGAAAAGCTATACTTTCACCGGTCAGCCCAGAGCACTTCTTCCTCATTATGTCTCAAAGGGAACCCATAATTTCTATCAAGAAACAATCCTATGCTCCTTGTATTGGCTGACAGCATTACCCAGTTGCCACAAGTGGAACACCTCATCTGTCAACTTTACCTCGAAAATTTCCTAAGCCCATCTCAGTTTTCTCATCGCTATGGTCACTGTTCTCGTCAATGCCTAAACACCTTCCTGGCTCTGAACAATTCCAACTGTCCCTAATTCACCTCCCTGTCTTTAGTTTCTTCAGGCATTAAGCACTATTCCACAACGGAGCCAAAATTTACTTTTTAAAACAAGATTTAACTTTGTCACGCATCTGCTTAAAAAGCATCCAGAAAAACAGTAACAACAACAACAACAAACTTCCAGGTTCCCCTTAAGGCTCTTTATGATCTACCAACATCCAGTTTTTAGTCTTCTTACCATACTCTTCTGCCCACATAACTTCTCTGATCTAGTCTGTATTTTGTAACATGGCCAGCTCATTCCAATCTCAGGACCCATGTGTGTTCTGTTCCACCTGGAGTATTCTGCAACCCGGCATCCATGTGACTGACCCCTCATCATTCAGAACTCACCTCAAAAACTACCTTTTCAGGCCTGAACCCCACAACTCCAGTAACCCTCTCCTCAATTACACCTAAACATGACACCATTTTGCTTTGTCTTAACTGCATTTCTCATGGCCTGAAACTACTTTATTTCTTTTTTAATTGAGTCTTCCCTGCCAGACTACAGACTCTACAAGCCTGTCTGTCCCCACAGTAATACAGAGCCTACTGTAATTCTTGGCAAAGATCAGGTTCTCGATAAATATTTGTTGAGGGACAAATAAATGCCTATACTATCATCCTTGTGCCTTTATTTCACCTATTTACCTAGCGCTCTCCTACACATACCTGTCACCCCCAGCTCTCCTGAAATCCTACTCATCAGTAGAGGCCTCATTCAAATATCCTCCTCCATGACACCTTTCTAGCCCTCTCACTGGTGACCACCCATTCCTCTTTCTGTGTCCTAAGAGCACTTTACTCCTATGGGGGTCAGAGCTCCAGTCCTTTAAGGGTCTCCCACAATAAATGACAAGCTGCTTGAGCTCTTTGTCTCCATCACTTTATGCTCTTGATGACTGACACTAATGTTCACCACATATTCTTAGGCCAATGAGACCTGGGTTTGGAGTGTGGGTCTACTTTGGACGAGTTACTCAGCCTCTCTAAGGTTCAGTTTCTTAATAAGAGCAGTGTCTAATTATAGTCATTAGTTCATGGGACTTCTGTGAGTATTGAATGGAAAGGACTGTGGAGTCATTAAAACAGTATTTGGTACACAGGACAAGTTATCTAGTCTCATTTTTACTACTATAATTACAAAGGGTACCTACCTTAGATTCCCATTATCCTGCAGAATCTGCATCAGGTTAAAGTTAGGCTCTGGCTCCTGAGTCTCAATCTTGCAGCCCTGTTCACCTTTATTATTCCACACAGGAACTTCCATGGAATTTTCTTTGGGTAAATTTTCTATCCCAATAGTCAACGGGGGTGCAAATTTGCCTTGATTTTCTGCAAGAGACTCTGCAGACTCCTCCTGGGAAGCTTCCTGTTCTTCATCTTCATTGTCTAATGCAACTTCTTCTTCTTCCTCTTCACTCTCTGCCTCAGTTTTACCATTCATTTCAGCTGGCTGGGTAATCACTAAATGCGAAGAATCACTAATGTTGCTGAAAAAAGAATTAAAATTTCCTCTCTCCCAATACCTTCCTCTTATCTTTTTACATAAAAACCCAATTCTAAATCAAACCACAGAAAAGGCACAAAATTAACAGCAATTACATGTCACCCTCTAATATTTAAAAACCTATCAGTGATCTGTATTAGAACCAATACTTCTTATACCAATGACTCTCTCACAACTTAAGACAATCCCCCTATTAACCACGAAGAGAAAACTATATTGTGTTACAGGTTTTTAGAAAGCACCTTTCATGGAGTTCCCAAAACTATTAGGTATTTGTATAGTGGTAGAATAAGAGCAAGAGTCAACATGTGTGTGCTTCAGCTATTCTTCAACATAAGTGTTAATAGAATGGAAGGTTTAAAAATTTTATAATCCTTTCAAAACTGAGTTTCAGAGTAAAAGACTATTCCTAACAAAATTAAGTGTACTCAATCAGGAAAGTTCTGACTCATTAAGTTCTGAGAAGAAAGCTCTGGCAGAATCCAGATTATGCAGTTTGGTGAAAGGTCACTGGGAGGTACCTGGGTATTTTGGCTTTAGTGCCCTCAATCTGCCACTCCGCCGTCTATGTTTTCGCACCTCCAGAGACAGGAGTTTTCTCTCGTAAAGAGCAGCATGCAGCTTGGCCTTTGAATTCACACTCTCTACCTTCAATTCTGGCATTCCATCAGTGGTCATTCTAGGGCAGAAACAAGATGACAGCTTGTGAAAGTTCTCTCCTTCAGTCCAGGGCTAAGCTCGACGGCACTCTGTTCAGATGACAGATTGGGCATGGCTATGCTTATGAATTTGAAGGGTTTGACTGAGAAAGGGGAATATTGGGATCTACAGTAAATCCTCACTAATGGCCTATCTGAATTTGTGAAGTGTTCTGAACAAAAATTATCTGAAGATAATGTTTAAGTACCTTTAAGCATTGATATTATTAATTTACTAAAACGGTCGTAAAGTGCCACTAATACTTTATAAAAGAATACGTAACTAGGAGATATTAGTAACATTTTAATTCTTCAACTGCATGATGGCAAAAGGTGTTTGTTTTATTGTTATTAATCATAATTTACTGAGAAATATGTAACATCCCTTTGAATGCATACAATAAACTCAGATCTGGCAGAGGCTGCGATGGGAGACAGCAAGTAATCTGTGAATGTAGTGCATAGCACGGGGCTGAGACTCACAGGGGAACCGTGTCAGTGAAAAGTTAGCAAGACTGGAGTCTCAAGCACCCCAACGTGAGGACCTGCCAAGGCTCCAGCCCCCATTCAGATCCTAGTCAGCTCCAGGAAGAGGCAGGAGATGTGGCAGAGAGCCTCCAGGTGTAGAGTACAGGTCAGAAGTTAGCCTCAGAGGCCCAGACAAGGGAAGGCAGGGACAGAGGACAAGGTCAAACGCAGGTCCTGCGTGAGAAGTGGGATGGGGAGAAGAAGCTGGTAACAGCTACAGGGGCACTAAAGTAAGACAAATTACAAATTAGCTAGGTGACTGACAGCAGGCCCAGTCAGGACAAGGACTAGGCCCACAGAGATAACCAGGTCATGAAAGAGAAAGAGGTTCTGGGTAACTGGGTCAGACAGAAGGATCCGTGTCACCGGCTAACTCTACCTTCTCAGGACTCAAGCGCTAACTCAAGATCTCTGAGCGCGGTTTGGAATGCAAAGCATATTCCTTGTGAAGTCAAGGCATCATCCTACGTCCCCTGGGAGTTTTCAGTCTCTGAGCAAGATGGAAAGTTTATGTCATTTAGTCTGTTTAGGTCTTTCTTTTTTCTCTTTTTTTGTTGTTCGTTTTTTGAGACATGGTCTCACTATGTACTTCAAGCTGGCCTTGAACTCACTATGTAGTTTAGGCTGGCCTCGAACTCGAGGCAATCCTCCCACTTTAGCCTCCCTAGTTCTGGGATCACAGGTGTGACCCACCATGCCCAGCTTGTTTAGGTCTTTCTGAGAGGGACTTCTGGGTGGACAGGGTGAATGGCCAATATTCTGGAGGCTTCCCTTCAGAATAAGACCTTGAGCCAAGACTAGGGAGGGTACTGACACTGACACTGGGGAAGCAAATTAATGACCTTTTTTTTTTTTTTGAGCTGGGATCTAAATTTCTCAGGTTGGCATCAAACACCTGAGTTCAAGTGATCCTCCTGCCTCAGCCTTCCAAGTAGCTGTGACTAGAGGCATGTATTGTATACCCAGCTATTAATAAACTTTAAAAACAATTGGAATCTATTTTTTGTCATAGTCCTAAAGACTGAACCACACACACGGAGCTATGGAAATAGATATTTAGCCAATTAAATAATATAGGAAAAAATATTTGATTCAAAAATCATTCAAACTACTTGATAATATCTAGACAACTTGGTCAAACTTAATAATTGTACAGGCAAACATGACATTTTTATCCTGATGCTCACAAACATTCCTCTTTCCAAAGACATGTCTTTTAAAAACTTATATGATTTGAAATAGTTGAATGTTTTGGAACATTCTAATTGAAGGGGTGGAAGTTAACTGGACCTGCTAATAAACAAAAGCTCAGTTCATATGCTCATGAACCACGTCCATTACATATACAAAAGTGTCTCTGCCTATGTTGCCAAGAACATAATTCTTTAGGAAAAAGATTTTTTTAGGGTAATTATTATTCAAAACTTGATAAGAGGCTTCTGAAAGTATGAATCCGAAAAGCTCAGAGATCTGGAGAGGCTACTAAGAAGCTCCTTCTCTATGGATATTTAAAATATCGACTCTGAGCTAAGGGACGGTGGACAGACAGATAAATCCAAACTAACACAGGGATGGAGGACATGGAAAGCTGGGGGTTGTGGATCTGAGTTATGTGAGGCCATGGACCATGTTCTTCTTGTTGATCACTGTGTCCATGATGCTACGAGCCTGCCCAGCACACAGACAGCATGGCATAAATACTGTTCAATTACTATTTCAATTCTCTATGAATAACCTGTAATTTTTAGCTATATCTATTCTGCATTTCTTTTTCCAACATTTTATTATGAAAATATTTAAATTAAGAGAACAGTTTAAAGAATTATAAGCAAGCATTTGTATACCTACCTACCACCTGGTTTCTACAATGAACTGTATTTACTGTATTTGTCTCATCACACACATATATATCCAATCCTCCTCTATCTACGCATCAATCCTTTTAATTTTTAAAGCATTTCCAAGTTGCAGACAAACACCAGTGCACTGTCTCCTTTAATGGTTCAACATGCATATCATTATTATTTAGAATTCATATTGTTATAAGAATTTCTGTGACCTAAAACTTATAGTGAAATATTCAAGTACTAAATGTCCATTTAATGAACTTTAACAAATGCATATAATGATACAAGTCAAATTCCAACACTACTGTCATCTTAGAAATTTTTCCTGTCCCTTCCCAGCCAATCCTTCTCTAATGCCTTAAATTGCCATCATTGCTCTGAATTTTTCATCAAGTAAGTTTTGAATGATTTAAAACTCTACCCAAATGAACAGTTTAGTGTGAACGCTTTTGTGTAAGCATAATCTGTCCACCATGTATCAATATTCATCCTTTTTAATTGCAGAGTAGCAGGCCATGGTCTGAATGAAACACAACATTCAGAGTGTATCTACTCTCTTGTTTTTGGACACCTCGGTTGTTTCTTGTTTTGGAATATTATGAATAAAGTTACTATGAACATGCCTGTACAAATCATTTTGTGATTATGTTCTTTGTTTTTCCTGGGTAACAATTTCAGAATGGAAGTTGCTAGGCTTTCTAACAAACTGCCAGACTCTTGGTCTCAAGTCCTTGTCCTAGTTTACACCACTAATGCCGATTTATCAAACTTCTGTTAGCTCTGTATGACACATGGTTTTGGTCAGTCTAATTTTAGACATTCTGCTATGTGGTTAGTGGCACATCACGGCTTTAATTTGTAATTCTCAGATGTCTAATGTTTTAACCACATTTTCATGAGCATGTTGACTATGTATCTTCCTTTTGGAATATCTATACATATATTTTACCCAATTGTAACTGGATTGTCTAATAATTGAGTTGTAGATTCTTTAGATTTTCTAGATACTAATCCTCTGACAAACATCTGATGAACATCTTTGTTCAGTCTATGGTTTGTGTGATCATTTTTCTTTTCTTTTTTGTGGTACTGGGAATTGAACCCAGGGTCGTCACACTGTGTTATATCCCCAGCCCTTTTTAACATGTATTTATGTATTTTTTGAGACAGGGTATTTCTAAATCATTAAGTTGCCCAGGCTGGGCTCAAATTTGTAATCTTCCTGCCTCAGCCTCTCTGAGTGCTTGGGATTACAGGAATGCATCACTACACCCAGCTCCTAATCATTTTCTCAATAGTACCTTATGATTAAGTTTTTAATCTTGAGGAAATCTAACTTATTTTTTGTTGGTTTACTGGATTTTGTATCACATATAAAAAAACTTCTGCCCAGCACAAGACAAAAATATTCTATATTTCAAGTAGTTTTACATAATACCTTTTATGTTTATGTCTATGAATCATCTCTAATTTTTGTAGCAGATGAGGGTTGAGGTTCATTTTTTAAAATATGATATCCAGTTGGTCTAGCTCCATTTGTTAAAAAGAGATTTCTTTCCTCGCTGAATTGCTTTGGGCCTTTTGTTGAAAATCAAATGATCAAATAAAGGATGACCGAAATATACTGAATATTTAAATTTAAAAAAATGTATTACAGTAAAAGACACATTGCCATTAGTCTCCCTTCCAAATACTCCCCTTGCTTCAAACAAACTTATCCCATATCCTTCTTACCATTTTCTGGAAGTTCTCTTGGTGTCTTTATGGGGTGTGATAAAAACTATAGTGAATGCTGCTGTTAAGTGCCATCCACCATAAAGGCAAGTTCATTAAACTACAGTGTGGCCTCATCTACCTTATTTACTAAATTTGGCATGGTGCAACTTCTGGCTCTTCCCCAAAGTCAAAATGACCATGAAAGATAAATATTTTGAATGAATTAAGGACATCAAGGCAGCCACAACAGTGCAACTAAAGACATTCATGAAAGAGGACTTCCAGAACTGCTTCAAAAAATGTCAAGATCAATGGGGTGTGTTCAAAGTGAGGGGAATATTTTGAGGGGGGTTAACAGCAATGTCTTTTTTACTGTAATAAATTAAAAAAAATTTTTTTAATTTACAGTATTTATTGATCACACATAATTAACAATGTGGGTCAGTTTCTGGGCTCCATCCCCCTCCCCCCAATAATGTTAAACCAACCTTGAATTACTAGGGAAAATGTCAGTCATATGTATTATATTTTTCATATACTGGTGGATTGATTGACTGATTAATTCATTGAGACAAGATCTTGCTAAGTTGCTAAATTGCTCAGGAAGGGCTCAAACTCCTGGGATTAAGCAATCCTCCTTCCTTAGCCTCTTACACTGCACCTGGCTAGGTTTATTAATAGTCTTAATAAAAAGTGTGTGTGAATCCTCCTGAAAGATATTAGCTTGTAATTTTCTTCTTTTTGTAAAATGTCTCTGTCAGGTTTTTTAACATAGTTATGCTAGTATCACAAGAAAGAGCTGGAAAGTGTCCATTCCTGTATTTTTAAAAGAGATTGTGTAAGGTTGGTGTTGTTTTTGCTCACATGCTTCATAGAATTCACTGTAAAACCCATGAGTCTGGAGTTTTCTTTGTAGAAAGGTTTTTGAAAAGAAAAAAAAAAAAAGAAAAAGAAAAAAAATGAAAAAAACAAAAAAACAAAAAAAAATTTAAAAAAAAAGAAAGGTTTTTGAATACAAATTCAGTTTTCTGAATAGATAAGAGTACTCTGCAAAATTTCTATTTAGGCTTTTGTCAGTTTGGGTGTTCTCTCATACACACAAGGAACTGAGTCATTTCTCCTAAGCATCAGAGTAACAGAAAGGGTTGTTACTAGTATTCCCCCACTTACTATGCATTTTATATCTGTTGCATCTGTATCTTCTCTATCTGAACTCGATACAGTACTCAGTAGTCTCATTTTCCTCAACCAGTTTACTTGGATTATTTATCACTTCTGATAGCTTTTCGATGAATAAATGTTGAACTTCATTAGTTTTCTTTAAGATTTGTCTTTTATGGAATTGATCAGTGCCCTTTATTATTTCCTCTCTGCTACTTACTTTGGTTTACTCTGCTTTTTCCTAGTTTCTTAACAGGGTCATTAAATCAATTATTTTAGTCCTTATTTTTTAAATATAAGCATCAAAAGCTATAAATTTCTCTCAAAGCACTACCTTACTGCATCCCACACATTTTGACATTTTATTATCGAGTTCAAAATAGTTTCTCATTTTGTTTGTCCTTTCTTCCTTGATTCATGAATTATTTAGAAATGAGTTGCTTCTTTCTAAATATTTGGGGATTACAAATATTGTTCTATTTTATTGTATCTATTGTAATTGATGTTCAATTCCACTGTGGTCAAAGAACATACTTTGTAGTAGTTTGATCCTTTTAAGTATAGTTAAATTTGTTTCATACTCTGGTATATGGTATCATGTGCCAGGTTTCATTTGTTTATACCTCAACACCACCAAAAAGCCCCCACTGGTGGCAATACAAAATGAGTTCTACAAAATGAAGAAAGGGGGCCGGGAATTTAGCTCAGTGGCATTGTGCTTGCCTTGCAAGCACAAGGTCCTGAGATCGACCCCAGTACCAAAAAAAAAAAAAAAAAAAAAAAGAAGAAAGGACAGAACCTACTGATTTTTAAATATTCTTATTGTTTATGTTTTTCTCTTTTCCCCTAATTCCCAAGTTGATAGCAATATACTCTTAATTATATTCCTTTATTCCTAAAAACTAGAGAAAATGTATAAACAAAGTATAACTTTCACTTAGCTAGAAACTTGATTTATTTCAGTTTTCCCTTAATTAAAAGGCAATCATAATGCCTTCTTTAGAAGAATTAAGACTTGTACTTCAAAGGGCTTAGATAAGAAACAAAGTTTATTTTAATAGACTTTAAATGCAAAACAAAAAACTAGATATAAGCAGTTTCTTACTGTTGTCATATTATTTTTTAAAAGAATATACAGCACAAGGGGACATCTGTAATGTCTCAAACTCTTTATAACCAGAAGATGTGTTTGGGTTTTAAGAGTTTTTGTGGTAGCTGTAGTCATCTGTGAGACAAAGCCACCTCAGCCTTTCCTCTAAGACCTTTCTCTACTCTGCGCAAACAAAACGCCACAGGTGTTTTACATACCTCCAATTGTGTGGCAGACCAGAAGCAGGTTCTGCTCATCCCATAAGGCGCACAGTTACACACCTCAGGTATGTCAAAGCCAAAACATAAACTTACTTGAGTCTAATGTGGCAGTAGTCTTGAAATTTCACTAATCCTCTGGTCTCCCTCACATAGACAAACAAGAACAGTATTATTGTCAATTAAAAAGATAGTCATGTTGTTATAAGGGTAAATTTCATAGTTTGCAAAAAGTGCCACAGAATACTTTTTCAATAGAAAACATTTTTATGTTAGTATTCATGCAGAGCCAAACTGAAAATGGTTATATAAAGTAGTATGCTTAGTCTGTGCATGGTAACACACTATGCACATGGAAAGACTCTCAACTTTTAGAAATCAGTTACCGTGTTCTTCCTGTCAATAAGCTTCTTCTTGTGTTCCCCCTATAGAAATAGAAAGGACAACTAGGTTAGAGGATGGTATTTGGATATTTACTCCGGAGTTCACACACACAAGCACTCCTAAAATTTTGATTATAGAAAGTCAACATGAAATAAGGTCAGAGAAGGCAAGTGAGAACATCCTCAGAGAAAGGTGGACCAGTTAGCTGAAGGATCAAAGAAAAACAAAAAGGAAAAGGCAAGAAATTCTAGGAAGGAAAAAAAAAAAATGGTAATGATGACTTGCATTTTCTGTCTCCTTCCAAAGTAAATCATACTTACTGCTCACAACAATCGTGTGAAGAAGGTTGTTAATTCGCCCGATTTATATAAAGGAGAAGGATAAAGTGATGCTGCAACCTCCAATGGTCAGGGTTTAAAGGGTTTACATTTGAGCCCAGGGCTTAGGCCTCAGACAGCAGAGCTGTTCTCCTTTCAATGAACTATTTTAGGAAAGGAAACTAAGCTCGATTCTCATGAGTTCCAAAAGGATATTCACCAGAAACAGACTTTCCACAACTGGAAAAAAAAAAAAACTCTGTAAAGAAAGGGATGGTCTCCATTGTTTCTAAACCAGGGTCGGGCTCTAACCACAGGAATTGAGCACCATACATGTTTAAATGGACTTTTTTTTTCAAACATCATCTCCTCAGTCAATTTCCTTTCATTTAACACTTAGGGAGGGGGTCCCCAGTTTTAAGTGTACGTGTATGTTTAGCTCAGCCCAATTTTACTATCCTTGTAGGTTCATGTGTCTATCAGCACAGCCAAGATACCGAACAGTTAAGGACCCCATAAGGACTTATAGAACCACACACCTCCTACCTAATCCCTATCGCCCAATAATCTGTACATTCTAAAATGCTGTTTCAAAAATGTGATGTAGGGCCAGGGATTTAGCTCAGTGGTGCTGCTGCCTGTCTTGCAAGTGCAAGGCTCCCGAGTTCGATCCCCAGTACCAACAAACAAACAAAAAAAGTGGAAAAATGTCATGTAAATACACAGCACATTCCTTCTGATCATTTTTAAAGAGACAAAAGCAGTATAGATTGTATTTATAGAAAATAAGTGAAAAGGTTGTCTTTACCAAGATGTTTTGTCTTGCCTTTCCTATATCCCCGCTAATGTCTTGATATTGTCACAGTATCATCACAAAGTCTCAAGATGACTTTAACTTTTTTCATCCAGATAACAGTTTTCTCCAGTAATTTGCAACTGCATCTTCACATTACAATCACCAGGCAGCTTTTCATAAGGATCACTATAGTTCACTCCCTTCCAGGGATGAGGGTAGGGCATAAATGTGATTTACAAGATCCCCAGGGGATAGTAATGTGCAGTTAGGATTGAAACTACTGCCATCCAGCAAAACACCAGGGCAGATACTGTTTGACAGTGCAGGATGGGGGGGGGGGAGGGAGGGGCTGAGGATAGGGGAGATGGCAGAAAAATTAACCGAACACAATTCAATTTGAAAGAGAAAACAACAATTCAGATTAAAGAAAAGAGATTTAGTGGAAGACAGAAGGTCTTAGAACAAAAACAATTTCCTGTTTTCAATGCATATTTTTGTGTGTGTGCCTACCATCTGGTAGGTTCTCAATACTAATAAAGATGAACAAAACAGAATTCACTCTTAAGGGCAAACCTATAAAGTCAGTGAACAGATATTATAATACAATCTAGGAATCTAAATCAGACTGAAAGATAAAAGGATTGGGCATATTCCCTCCTAGTCTAGGTTAGAGGAGGAAAACAGAGGTAGAAATTAGGGATTGTCTGTAGGCCATTCTAAGAGAAGGGGAGGGAGTTTGTAAGAATTAGGAGATATGAAAGAACAAGAAAATATGGCCTAATAGGCTATGGGTTGGTATGGAAAAGCAGATATTAGGCTAAAATAGTAGGCAGGAGTAGGTCATGAGGGCATTTCTTTGTTAAACAGGGAAATTTACGTTTTCTTAATCAAAAGTTTTCACAATACTTTATAATCACGAGTTATTAACTGGGTCCTGAAGAAAAAATGCAGGGAGTATACCAACTTGGATTGCAAAAACAATTATATCCTCTCACTGGAATTTAGCATTTCCTCCAATATACATGTAGGAAACCATCCATAGTAGTAGATTAGTGCAGCTTCATTATCAACAGAAACATATCTCTCTCTCTCTTTTTTTCATACTACTTAGAATTGTCACAAGTATTTCAAAATATCAGTACTTATTCTTGAAATTGTGGTAGTTATCAGACCTGCTGTTAGGCCTTGCTATTTAACATATTAATTGAAAAATGTATTATTATATCTCAAAATTTTTATTGTTGTGCTACTCCTAAGGGAATGCTTCCTAATTCTGCTTGCATGGTGGTCTCCAGCTTACTTCCTGTGCCCTCCCTTTGCCTTCATAGGCAGCCCAAGTATGGAAAGATCCGGCCTCAAGCACAATCAGTTCAGAAACAGACCTACACACTCTGAGTTAACCCATGCCAATGACCTATGGTAAGCAAAAAGTCTATTATCTGTAAATATGACTAGACAATGAAAAATCACCGAATATTTGTAGACTTGTGGCAGTAAAAACTAGAAAGAACAAGAACAAAAAGAACAAATACAAAGGAGTAATATAATGTAAATGGCTGAAAGGAACTTTCAACAATCTAAGACAAAGAAATTTGAAGACATACCATAAAATATGAAAACTAATCAAGAAGTAAAAATAATTCTTGAATATTAAAATAATACTTGCTAACATAAAAAAATTGAACTCTCGTCATAGTAAGACCAATTTAGAGGTACAGAAGACAAAAGTTTAAGAAATCTCCAAGAAGGGCTTGGGATATATCTCAATAGTAGAGCACTTGTCTAGCACATGCAAAGCCCTGGGTTTAATCCTTGGTACCGAAGGAGAAAAACAAAGAAGTCTCTGAGAACATAAAGGTGAGATGAGATAGAATACGAAAAAAAAATTTTTTTTAAAAAGGAGGATATAGACAAAACACAGCTAACAAAAATTCCACCAAAGAGGAAGGAGAGAATACAGGGAATGCTTCCCACATTAGAAAGGCTTAAATCATTACACCAAAAGGACTCACTCCTCCAAAATCAAAATATTAAAAAATGACAAACCAAAATGCATCCTGGTAAGTATCTGAATTCAAAAGATAAATATAAAGTTGTCAAAGTTTTTGAGGGGTGGAAGGGAGGGACAGGACCCAAGAATTCAAAGTTAAATATAAAGAGCTGAAAGTCTATGTCTTCCAAGTAAATCCAAGAATCTCTTTCACCAAAAGCTATACGTGTAATTAATCAATGGTATTTACCAAAAATATACAGAAAGTATTAATGCCCTGTACTTCCTGATACTAGATCATGAAATTTTAAGAAATGGTTGAAATCTGACTATTGTAGGAACCTTTCAAAAAAAGTAAAACATAGTCTTAAAAGTATATGAATTTCACTAACTACAGTACCTGATTTTTATAACCAATTACTGAACTGTACTTCAGGGAGTCATGTGTCAGAGGGGACAAAAATATGTGGGACCAAGTCATCCCTGACTGTGCGCATTTGAATTCCAGTGTCTGTTTTCCTTCTTTTCCCTTTTTTCCCTAGTATTAAGATTATCAGTTGTCATTTCTTACAAATCTTGTATTTATTTTGTGAATTACCTCCCTTCTCTTTTTCTGATTTTTTGATAATTCTAATCTTTTCTATTTAGAAAAACAGATAATCATGTCTGGTAAAATTGTGTCTAAGGTAAGAAAGGCACCGAGTATGAACTTTCTTAGAAGAATAAAAGTTCAGGGCATGTGTTAAGATGACTCAAAGATCTTTATGGTTTAATTTTTGGCTTTTGAAAATGATATAAGAGTTTAATCCTCAGTACTGGGAAAAAGAAAAGAAAATATTAGAGACTACTGAGTTATTGATAAATTCTGGAAAATAAGGTATTATATTGTGTCTTCTGCAAGGCCCTTTCTATCATAGATTTTACATGAAGACTTTTATAAAGCTTATTTCCTCCTTTTGTATATATTTTCTCCTAATCTTATGATCAAATCCTAAATTTATAAATTCAGCAAATTCCCACCTGTCCTGGAAGAGGCGTGTTGCCAGCATATAGTTCATGGAGGTCCTGTGCTCAAGGTAGGACCTGAAGGACAAAGAAGGAAACCAGTTACCTCCTAAGCTTAGTTCAGGAGGAAAATACAGAAATAAAATTATGGACCAAGCACAAAAATAACAGGTTACTTATATACCATTCCTAAAGAAATATACTGTTTCTTTTTTGTTTTTTTAGAAATATATTCTTTCTAAAGCGGCAAATGAGAGAGTTGCTCAAATCAAAATTTTAAAATGTAAAAGAAGCAGATATGGAGTAAAATGAAAAGAGTAAGGACAAAAGATTTAATTTAGAACATAAAAAGAAGAAAAGGGGAGCAGCATTTGGGTTACTAGAAGGTGATATAGTATATTCAGAAGATAAAACTGAAAGATAAAAAGAAACCCACCAAAGAAATTATATATACAGAAGAGGTCACAAAAAGCTTGGGATAGATCCATAAAGGGCATGAAAATGTAGGTAGGAGACTGCTGCAGTCATGTTATGCCACAACTTGAGAGCTTCAGAGGCTCCCTCGTGTCCACTGCAGGAAGCACATACTTTCAGAAGTTGGATCATCTGTACCAACAATTCATGCACACTTTTCCACACAGTTGTCCAACACCAGTCCTGCAGTACAGCCAGGAAGTCTCCTCAGAGTCCCCTCACACCACACCTTCCACAGATCCTTTGTCTCTGACAGACACTTCCTCCCCATGCCAAGCAGCAGCTTGAGCCCATCCACTGAACGCAGTCTTCTGCAACAGGGCACTCCACATGCTCGGAGAGGGCCCCTTGTCTGAACTACCCGTCTTCACTGCATGCCTGAGGGTGCTGCCACATACTGCCTTGCAGAGTGGACTTTCTCTTCTAGGAAAGCTGCATGATGCAATTCACCCCTAGATGTACATCCAGGAGACACTGAGCAAAATATGTATAGCACAGGGGTACTTACGAGCAAAAGACCAGAAAGAAGTCAGACAGCCATCAACAGGGGAATGGGAAAATTAACAGCAGTACAAACACATAGCAAAGTACAGTAAATCATTAAGAAGGAATGAGCTGTAGGTGTATGCAACAACATGAATCTTAGTAACATAATGCTTAATGAAAAAAGGAAAGGAAACAGAGCATGTCATTTGTTCAGAAAAAGTTCAAAAGCAATTAAAACTACAGAGAATTCTGCTTCTACATAGGAGAGGATAATTGTTATAGGACCCACCCTCTTGGTACAAATAGCTAGGAAAGTGTGCAAGACTTGTGAAACAACTGATTTCAGACATTAACCAATTGGCAGCATGGACTGTGATCCCTGATGGGGGGAAAAAGTGAAGTACGCCCTACTGTTGCTCTGCCTTTGTGCAATTTCCAGACTATGTGGGAAAGGAGGAATTCAAGTACACCCCAACAGTGTATGAGCTGAGATGACAGAAATCAAAATTCTTCTAGATGCATCCCTCTAATCCCAGCACTCAGGAGGGTGAGGCAGGAGGGACTCGTGAGTGAGTTCAAAGCCAGCCTGGGCTGCATAGTGAGTTCAAGGCCAGCCTGGACTACATACTGAGACTCTGTCTCAAAAAACAAAACAAAACAAAACAAAACAAAGAAAGAAATGAAAGTTCTAAGAAACAGCTAGAATTTCCAGAGCAATGCAAGGGAGAGAAGGAAGCTGTACATAAGAGGCAATTAAAACACCATCACAAGGGCCCCTGGAGTCTTTGGGTAAATACCAATCTACTCAGGAACACAGTAAAAGTCTGTGAGGCTGAGCAAAGAGCAACTGTTAGAACAAACAACGATTAAGAACAAAGTGCAGGCAAAATAATTTCTGAAGTTCATTCAGGGCAGCAAACTGAGACTCACCAGCCAGAACAGAGAAATCTTCTTGAACATGAGGTCACTTAATAGACATTCCAAAAGAATCTTTAGTGGTAGAACTATCTTAGACCTACAAATAACTTTAAATAAATCATAGCAATGCTTCAAAAAAATCAGTGGAGTTTTAAAAAGGCAATAAAATCCAAATTCTCAAGATGTGACATTTACAATGTTTAGTAGTTAATCAAAAAATTACTGTACATATGAAGAAGTAGGAAAAATGTGACCCATAAACAAAAGTTACTATAATTATTATAACATATGTACGAGATCTAAAAGAAATGACAACAATCAAAAATGAACAAAGGAAGACAAAAACAAACAGATGGGAATTCTACCAATGAGAAATAAAATATCTCAAGTGAAAATTTCACTGTAATTAACAGAAGATTAGGCACTGCAGACAAAATGATGAATGGCCTTAAGAGACAAAAAAGCAGAAAATCACTCAAAATGAATGAGAGGGGAAAAAAGTCTGAGGAAATATGAAAACAGCTAGCTTTGTGGTAAAATATAAACCAACTTAATGTGTAACCAGAGTCCCAGAAGAAGAAAGGAAAGAACTAGGAAAAAAGTTTGAAGAAATAATGGCCAAAACTTTTCCAAATTTGATGAAAACTGTACATAAATCCATAGTCCACTGGAAGCTCAATGAATTCCAAACAGAAGAAATATGAAAATGACCAAGGCACATCATGATCAAACTACTGAAAAGCAGTCATACAGAGATAATCAGAGGGAAAAAAAATTAGGCACAAGAGAACAAGGATTAAGAACTGCTACAGATTCTTCTAAGAAAGATGCAAGCTAGAAGATGATTCAAAGATATTTTTAAAGAATTTGGAAAAAAGTACCAACCTAGAAGTTATAAGTAGTCAAAAAAATTTCAAACATGAAAGTAAAAGTCTTGCTGGACATAGTGGCACAAACCTGTAATCCCAGCACTTTGGAGGCTGAGGCAGGAGGATTGTCATGAGTTTGAGGCCAGCCTGGGCTACGCAGTGAATTCAAGGCCAGCCTGAACTGTATAGTGAGACCTTCTCTCAAAAAACAACAACAAAAAAAGTTTTTTTTTTTACATAAAGAGAAGTTGAGAGAATTTGTTATTAGAGTTGCCTAAAACAAAATCCTAAAAGTTTTACAGACGGAAGAAAATGCTATCAGAAGAAAACCTGCATTGACACGAAAGAATAAAGAATTGAACTTTGGCTGTGAGCTGATGGGGGGGCGGTGGCACTGGGGCAGGCAGGGGGTGGCGGGCTGCCATGAACAGCAAGGCATTCACCAAGGACCTGGACCAGTGGGTCGAGCAGCTGAACCAGTGTAAACAGGTGAACAAGAACCAAGTGCAGACTCTGTGCCAGAAGGCTAAGGAAATTTTAACAAAAGAATCAAATGTGCAAGAGGTTCATTGTCCTGTTACCATCTGTGGAGAAGTACCTGGCCAATTCCATGACCTTATGGAACTCTAGAACTGGTAGAAAAATCACCAGATACAAAGTATCTATTCATTGTCCACTATGCCAAGAGAGGTTATTATTTTGTGGAGACTGTGACTCTTTCTGTAGAATTAAAGGTGGGTTACTCAGAATGCATTACCACATTGAGAAGAAAGCATGAAAGCTGACAAACTGCCCAAGTATATCTATATGGCTTTTATAGTGAATGTCTATGAAAATACGGAAATGCCAATGTTTGGAAATATTTTATAGATCTCTTTATCTTCCACTTACAGCTTTGGTAGATGGACAGATATTCTGCCTCCATGGTGGCCTCTCTCCATCTATACATACACTGGATCATACAAGAGCCCTGGATTGTTTACAAGAAGTTCCAAGGAGGGCCCAATGTGTGATCTCTTATGGTCAGATCCAGACCATCATGGTGGATGGGGTATTTTACCATGTGGTGCTGGGTACACATTTGGACAAGATATTTCTGAAACATTTAACCATGCTAACGGTCTCACACTGGTTTCTCATGCCCACCAGCTTGTAATGGAGGGATACAATTAGTGTCATGATCAGAATGTGGTTACCATATTCAGCGCACCCAATTACTGTTATCGTTGTGGAAACCAGGCTGCTATCATGGAATTGGATGACACTTTAAAATATTCTTTTCTTCAGTTTGACCCAGCACCTTGTTGTGGAGAGCCTCATGTTACTTGGTGCATCCCACACGACTTTCTGTTAATTTTTCCTGGGAAAAAATTGCCTTTGTATGTGAAAGTATACCTGGCTTTTTAATATATATAAATTTAAAAAAAGCAATGGTAATCTGTTTCTGTAACAAACTATAATCTGTCTTGGCATTAAACCATACCATGGACCAAGATGTGTGATACTAATGATGAGCATTTAACACAATTTGAGACTGAAATTTAGTACACTATGTTCTAGATTGGTCAAATCTAACAGTTTGTCTGCTGTATTTGTAGTAACTATTTTCCTCTGGACTGTTCCAGCAAAAGGGGTAACTAACTGCTTTATCTCCTTTTGTGCTTATTTGGAAATTTTAGTTACAGTGTTTAACTAGCATGGATTAATACAGTTAGAGTTTATTTTTAAGAAAAATTCATAAGCTGACTTCCACTTAATCCATTACCTTTTATTTTATTGAAATGTGTAAGTAACTGAAGAAAAGATTCTTCCTGGGAGTATGTTGTCATAACATTAAAGAGACTGGCCTTCATTTACATTCCTGCTTTATGTTGATCTCCATATTTCTGTATATTTGTCATGAGAGTGCACACATCCCATTTGGTGTACTGAGCAAATAAACTTTTCATTTTAAACAAACACACAAATAAAAAGAATAAAGAATTGAAAATGGTAATGCTTATGTAAATACGAGAGACTTTCGATTACATTTAAATGTGCTTAAATTGTAACTATTCGAAGGAAAAACTGATGTGTTCTATGGGACTTATACAGCAGTAAAGTATAATAATAGTAATGCAAAGGACAGAAAGAGAAAATAAAAATATACAAGTTGCAAAGTTCCTAAATCATAGAGGAAATAGTGTATTATTATTTGAAAATGACATTATGGAGAGCCAGGCATGGTGATGCATTCCTGTAGCCTCCACACTTGGGAGGCTGAGGCAGGAAGATCGTCAGGAGTTTGAGGCCAGCCTGGGCTACATAGTGAGTTCAAGGCCAGCCTGAACT